GGTGTATATCAGTATGTAGTGTCTCTACTTTAAAGAGTCCTCTCCTGCTGATGTTCAAGTGTATATCAGTATGTGGTGTCTCTACTTTAAAGAGTCCTCTCCTGCTGAAGTTCAGGTGTATATCAGTATGTAGTGTCTCTACTTTAAAGAGTCCTCTCCTGCTGATGTTCAGGTGTATATCAGTGTGTAGTGTCTCTACTTTAAAGAGTCATCTCCTGCTGATGTTCAGGTGTATATCAGTATGTAGTGTCTCTACTTTAAAGAGTCCTCTCCTGCTGATGTTCAGGTGTATATCAGTATGTAGTGTCTCTACTTTAAAGAGTCCTCTCCTGCTGATGTTCAGGTGTATATCAGTATGTAGTGTCTCCACTTTAAAGAGTCATCTCCTGCTGATGTTCAGGTGGATATCAGTATGTAGTGTCTCTACTTTAAAGAGTCATCTCCTGCTGATGTTCAGGTGGATATCAGTATGTAGTGTCTCTACTTTAAAGAGTCCTCTCCTGCTGATGTTCAGGTGTATATCAGTATGTAGTGTCTCTACTTTAAAGAGTCCTCTCCTGCTGATGTTCAGGTGTATATCAGTGTGTAATGTCTCTACTTTAAAGAGTCATCTCCTGCTGATGTTCAGGTGGATATCAGTATGGAGTGTCTCTACTTTAAAGAGTCCTCTCCTGCTGATGTTCAGGTGTATATCAGTATGTAGTGTCTCTACTTTAAAGAGTCCTCTCCTGCTGATGTTCAGGTGTATATCAGTGTGTAGTGTCTCTACTTTAAAGAGTCCTCTCCTGCTGATGATCAGGTGTATATCAGTATGTAGTGTCTCTACTTTAAAGAGTCCTCTCCTGCTGATGTTCAGGTGTGTATCAGTGTGTCGTGTCTCTACTTTAAAGAGTCCTCTCCTGCTGATGTTCAGGTGTATATCAGTATGTAGTGTCTCTACTTTAAAGAGTCCTCTCCTGCTGATGTTCAGGTGTATATCAGTATGTAGTGTCTCTACTTTAAAGAGTCCTCTCCTGCTGATGTTCAGGTGTATATCAGTATGTGGTGTCTCTACTTTAAAGAGTCCTCTCCTGCTGAAGTTCAGGTGTATATCAGTATGTAGTGTCTCTACTTTAAAGAGTCCTCTCCTGCTGATGTTCAGGTGTATATCAGTGTGTAGTGTCTCTACTTTAAAGAGTCATCTCCTGCTGATGTTCAGGTGTATATCAGTATGTAGTGTCTCTACTTTAAAGAGTCCTCTCCTGCTGATGTTCAGGTGTATATCAGTATGTAGTGTCTCTACTTTAAAGAGTCCTCTCCTGCTGATGTTAAGGTGTATATCAGTATGTAGTGTCTCCACTTTAAAGAGTCATCTCCTGCTGATGTTCAGGTGGATATCAGTATGTAGTGTCTCTACTTTAAAGGGTCATCTCCTGCTGATGTTCAGGTGGATATCAGTATGTAGTGTCTCTACTTTAAAGAGTCCTCTCCTGCTGATGTTCAGGTGTATATCAGTGTGTAGTGTCTCTACTTTAAAGAGTCCTCTCCTGCTGATGATCAGGTGTATATCAGTATGTAGTGTCTCTACTTTAAAGAGTCCTCTCCTGCTGATGTTCAGGTGTATATCAGTATGTAGTGTCTCCACTTTAAAGAGTCATCTCCTGCTGATGTTCAGGTGTATATCAGTGTGTAGTGTCTCTACTTTAAAGAGTCCTCTCCTGCTGATGTTCAGGGGTATATCAGTATGTAGTGTCTCTACTTTAAAGAGTCCTCTCCTGCTGAAGTTCAGGTTTACATGAGTATGTAGTGTCTCTACTTTAAACAGTCCTCTCCTGCTGATGTTCAGGTGTATATCAGTGTGTAGTGTCTCTACTTTAAAGAGTCCTCTCCTGCTGATGATCAGGTGTATATCAGTATGTAGTGTCTCTACTTTAAAGAGTCCTCTCCTGCTGATGTTCAGGTGTGTATCAGTGTGTCGTGTCTCTACTTTAAAGAGTCCTCTCCTGCTGATGTTCAGGTGTATATCAGTATGTAGTGTCTCCACTTTAAAGAGTCATCTCCTGCTGATGTTCAGGTGGATATCAGTATGTAGTGTCTCTACTTTAAAGAGTCATCTCCTGCTGATGTTCAGGTGGATATCAGTATGTAGTGTCTCTACTTTAAAGAGTCCTCTCCTGCTGATGTTCAGGTGTATATCAGTGTGTAGTGTCTCTACTTTAAAGAGTCCTCTCCTGCTGATGATCAGGTGTATATCAGTATGTAGTGTCTCTACTTTAAAGAGTCCTCTCCTGCTGATGTTCAGGTGTATATCAGTATGTAGTGTCTCCACTTTAAAGAGTCATCTCCTGCTGATGTTCAGGTGTATATCAGTGTGTAGTGTCTCTACTTTAAAGAGTCCTCTCCTGCTGATGTTCAGGTGTGTATCAGTGTGTAGTGTCTCTACTTTAAAGAGTCCTCTCCTGCTGATGTTCAGGTGTATATCAGTATGTAGTGTCTCTACTTTAAAGAGTCCTCTCCTGCTGATGTTCAGGTGTATATCTGTATGTAGTGTCTCTACTTTAAAGAGTCCTCTCCTGCTGATGTTCAGGGGTATATCAGTATGTAGTGTCTCTACTTTAAAGAGTCCTCTCCTGCTGAAGTTCAGGTTTACATGAGTATGTAGTGTCTCTACTTTAAACAGTCCTCTCCTGCTGATGTTCAGGTGTATATCAGTGTGTAGTGTCTCTACTTTAAAGAGTCCTCTCCTGCTGATGATCAGGTGTATATCAGTATGTAGTGTCTCTACTTTAAAGAGTCCTCTCCTGCTGATGTTCAGGTGGATATCAGTATGTAGTGTCTCTACTTTAAAGAGTCCTCTCCTGCTGATGTTCAGGTGTATATCAGTGTGTAGTGTCTCTACTTTAAAGAGTCCTCTCCTGCTGATGTTCAGGTGTGTATCAGTGTGTAGTGTCTCTACTTTAAAGAGTCCTCTCCTGCTGATGTTCAGGTGTATATCAGTATGTAGTGTCTCTACTTTAAAGAGTCCTCTCCTGCTGATGTTCAGGTGTATATCAGTATGTAGTGTCTCTACTTTAAAGAGTCCTCTCCTGCTGAAGTTCAGGTGTATATCAGTATGTAGTGTCTCTACTTTAAAGAGTCCTCTCCTGCTGATGTTCAGGTGTATATCAGTGTGTAGTGTCTCTACTTTAAAGAGTCCTCTCATGCTGATGTTCAGGTGTATATCAGTATGTAGTGTCTCTACTTTAAAGAGTCCTCTCCTGCTGATGTTCAGGTGTATATCAGTATGTAGTGTCTCTACTTTAAAGAGTCCTCTCCTGCTGAAGTTCAGGTGTATATCAGTATGTAGTGTCTCTACTTTAAAGAGTCCTCTCCTGCTGATGTTCAGGTGTATATCAGTGTGTAGTGTCTCTACTTTAAAGAGTCATCTCCTGCTGATGTTCAGGTGTATATCAGTATGTAGTGTCTCTACTTTAAAGAGTCCTCTCATGCTGATGTTCAGGTGTATATCAGTATGTAGTGTCTCTACTTTAAAGAGTCCTCTCCTGCTGATGTTCAGGTGTATATCAGTATGTAGTGTCTCCACTTTAAAGAGTCATCTCCTGCTGATGTTCAGGTGTATATCAGTGTGTAGTGTCTCTACTTTAAAGAGTCCTCTCCTGCTGATGTTCAGGTGTATATCAGTGTGTAGTGTCTCTACTTTAAAGAGTCCTCTCCTGCTGATGTTCAGGTGTATATCAGTATGTAGTTTATCACTATGAGTGTCAGAGTGTCACTGTTTAGCAGAGGGGAGACAGTTGTCTTCACTCACAGCAGGCCATACCATAGGAGAATATTTCTGGACATGTCCAGTCCTGCACACCAGAGGTCATGACCTTTCCCCACATATATGGGTATGAGGGTGTGTCTTTGGTTTTCTGTCCCTGTGTGGAGCATGAAAGCACTGGTTGAGAGGGAGAAAGCTAGAGCGGGGTTTCTCCTTGGTAAATTCTCTCAAATTGCTTGTGGTTTTGGATGTGTGCTGAATGTATTGTTGAATGAGTTTGATGTTGAATGTATTGTTGAATGAGTTTGATGTTGAATGTATTGTTGAATGAGTTTGATGTTGAATGTATTGTTGAACGAGTTTTATATCACCGACCACCTATGAGGAACTCCCTCTGAATTCATGTCGGATTAGGTGTTGAATGCAACTGAAGAGGGACAGTTGAAGAGATTCTAATGTATTTGATTTCACACCCGGTAATCTATGAGGATTTTCCTCTGAATTCTGCCGGAATAGGTTAATAATGCAACTGAAGAGGGACAGTTGAAGAGAGATTTACCAAATGAAATAAGAAATGTAACACTGTGAATTGAGGTTTTTGATTAGTAATTTACCCCAGCATGATATGTTTTGTATGATTGTCACATTGTAACGAGAGAAGGTAAAAACCCTCTGTGGACCATTTTCTTCAAATAAAATCATCCCACCCTTTTGGACTGGGATAACTTAAAATAAATCTGCGCTCTCCTCTCCTGCTTCAAAGGTAAGATTGCACCCTGCCACACTCACACTTGGGTAGGGCCACACCTCATTTACTGATATCAGAATCCTTCGGGATCGCTTAAACAGATTTAGCGTGTCGTCTGAATTGAAACAGCAGTTAATTGAACCTGGTTCTCCAGGAGTTAATAGAGGTGAGATCTTGCTGACCCAGGTGGATCCGAACCGGGCCGTAAACTTACATAGACTCAATAACTCCTGTTAGGTCAATTAGTAGGTCTGAGTAACAGCCAGAATAATGAATACAGGCGTATTCACATACAATGTGTTAGCTAGCCAATACACACGTGAGTCACTATGTACAAAGGAGTCCAATTGAAGCGTTACAGATGGGCCATGGCAGACCATTTACATGCACATAAATCTATATAACACACTACAGGAAAGGGAATCCCCAAAAAGAAGAATTGTACCCCTTTAACTACAACCTTTGTCAGCTTTAAAAACACAATCCAAATAAGAAGTGGGTCATACAGGACGTGTTGTGAATAATCTTTATTAGAAAAACATCGTGTGGAACCTCTCAGACATCCTGTGAGGAGATGGACCTGTGCAGACTGCACACACACACACACACACACACACACACACACACACACACACACACACACACACACACACACACACACACACACACACACACACACACACACACACACACACACACACACACACACACACACACACAGTCCTTTGGTCAGATAAATAAATGAGTGGGGGGTGCTGCTGGGCTCGTCTCCTCCCCCTGGGCCTGAGAGAGGCTGCAGCAGGCATGCTGAACAAGGCAAAGTGGTGTTTGCCACTCGGAGGGGGGCTTCTCACTGATGGCCACAAGTGTACAGAAGCTAACTGTGGCATAGGAACTGTGTGCTGATTGGCTGCTGCAGGGACTGTAGTCTGACAATCAGAGACGTTTAGTTCTGGTTAGCTGTGAGTGTGTGTGTGTGTGTGTGTATGTGTGTGTGGAAGCACTTGTTGCTGTCAGTGTGACCTCATGCAGAGGGAGAGGGGGTGTCGGGGTCTGGCTCGTAGTGGTATGTGTCCTGAGAGAAGCTGTTGCCCTGCTGCTGGCTGTGGGCCAGGCTGTGGGGGTCCTGAGCCTGCTGGTGGGGGTCCTCGCAGCCTTGTGCGGGCTGAGGGCTGTTGTCCTGTCCCAGCCCTAGCTGATGGGGGTCGGGCGGGGGCAGAGTGTCCAGTTCGTCCACCTGGGGCCCCGGGGGGTCCTGGGGGATGTCTGCGGCGGCGGCTGCCAGGTTGCTGGACGACTTGGACTTGACGCACTGGAAGTCCACGTGGCGGCTCTTGCCCTCCTCCTTCTCCCAGGACATGCGGATGAAGGGCCGCTGGACGTAGTTGTAGATGACCTCTGGACGACCGCCGGGACGCCGCTTCACCTTCTCTTTGTAGGTCGGGTAACCTGTAGGAAACAGACAAAGGAACGTGGCTCAGAATAACATTCAAAGAAAGACCATTTTTTTATTCAGCGCTCATAACAAGCAAACGTTTGTAGATGGTTTGTAGTTTTTAGGAAATACCCTTTTGCTGACTTTTGAGGTTAGATGAGACAAATGATACCCTCTCATGTCAGTACAGTAAACATGAAACTGAAGCCATGTGCCTGTTAGAATGGCTTAGCAAAACAATTCAAAAGGAGGACCCCGGCTCTGTCTAAAGGTGACACAATGCAGCTTTCCTTTAGCTCCCCAATCCCTGTTTTCACTAACGCACCAAAACCTGCTAAAAAGCGGAAAATACAAACATGCTGGAAAACAGGGTTTACTGAACAGTTCAAATGTGATGGGGTTACTTCTTTGAATCATGTTTTGTTATATCGGTACTTATTTAGTCTATCTTTCAAAGTTTCTAATCAGAGTGTGTGATGGTTGGAACAGAGGAGGGGACTGAAGACGCTTAATACGTTTTAGTGTGTTTTTGTTGAGTTTGAATAAGGTGTGTTTCACAATAATTAGTTAATAAAATGTGTTTTCCTTTCTGTTTGTTTATCTAACTCGATAAACTCTGCAATGAATACATCTTATTTATTGTATGTTTTGTAAGTATTTCTGATAATTGTCCAGATTATCAGAAATGTCCGGCAGTGGACTAGCACTTGGAGAGGTCCCAGTTCACCTCCTGGGCCCTGCCGTGGTGCCCTTGAGCAAGGCTCCTCATTGCTGCAATATAAACACTTGTTTGTACGGTGCTATAATCACTTTTATGTAACAATAGATATTTTTATAAATGTCTCAGAACTTCTTTTTTGAATGTCGCAATACTTTACGATACCATTTATGTCAGTTAGTTATCCTTAAAACTGTTCCTTTCCCTACAATTAGCATTCAGCTGGGGTTTGGATTGCCATTAAACATGTTTGAAGAGAGTATTTTTAGTATTAGTATCATCAGAGTACTTAATGATGACTTGATTTGGTACCAACACACCAAATCAAGTCATCATTAAGTACTCTGATGATACTACAATAATATCTCTGCTCAGTAACACAGACGACCCTGAGCTGCACCAACAGGCTGTAGATCAGGTGGTCGAGCGGACTGATAGCAATGCTCTTGTTGTTATTTTTGGCTCCATCTGACTCCCATAAAGTCCCCATTGTCATCCATACAGATGAAATCAAGCAGGGAGTTTCATACAAATACTTAGGTGTAATGATTGACCATCTGCTGTCATGGAAGGAGCACATTGAATATCTGTGCAAAAGGACAAAACAAAGAATTGATTTTCTCCGCCATCTTAGGTCTTTTGGGGCGAGCAGAGAAATTCTTCTGTTGTTCTTTACATCTGTGATCATGTCCATTCTACAGTACTGCAATACTACCTGGTACAAATGTTTGTCAGCAGCTTTAAAATCAAAACTGCTCCACCTGTTAAAAATCTGCTCAAAGATTGTTGGTCAACCCTGTCAGAGACTCTATGACTCAGCCTATCATAACAACCTAGTGAGGCTGTCCAACAACATCATCTCTGACCCAAAGCATGTTCTGAACAGTGAATATGAACTGCTACCATCTCATCGGAGATGCAGGGTCCCACGATTCAATAAGGTCAGACTGAAGCACTCCTTTGTGCATCAGTCAATCCTCACAGTAAATACAGAGCTGATCCCAGATCAGATGCACGCTGAAGGCTCTTTGAGCATGTTTTCTCTCACTGATTGTGCTGTTATGTTAAATGTTTGTTGTTTGTGTTTCATGTATTTGTGTCTGGATATTTGTCTGTTGATGTTGGACATGGAGCTGCTGTGACGCAAGTTAAATTTCAGACCTGATCTGACAAATAAAGTAATATCGTATCGTATCGTATTGTATTTTGTGTTTTTGTGGAAACTCCTGCCTCGGGTTCAGCCATTAAGACTTTTACACAGTGGTGACATCATCCTCAGAGTCAGGATATGCAGTGATCCCAAATCATATTGAATAAAGTCCTGGGGAAGGTTCAGGGAACAGTTTACTGACTGAACATGTGATCCTTTCAATGTTTGTTTTTCCCTCACAAAGCTTCAGTACACTCAGGAGAAAACGAAAGAACATCTACAGGAGTTAAAGAGTCGTGAAATATTCTGCTCCGAGTTGTATTCTTGTAAATGGGTCCACTTGCAGAATTAAGATCGCCCCAGACAATTCTTCAGATCCCCTGACTGATGTTAGAATCGGGACATACACCCAAAGATACAGGAGGGCTGGGGTTACCTGATGTTAGACTGTATAACCTGTCTTTTGAAATGGTCAAGATAGCTAAACACTGGAGAGGGACAGTGTCTGGTTTAGAATGGGCCACTATTTAAAAGGCCACCCTATACATGTGATATCCCAGAAGTCAAGTGATAAGGAGAGAGACAATAACCCAATTATTAAACACTCTAGGGAGGTCTGGGCAAAGGTTCATAAAATACACAAGATTTCACATTACAAACAGCAATATACATCACTTTAGTTAAACTCAGAAGTAAAAATAGGAAAATAAACAGTATTCTGGAGAAGATGGCTAGACCAGTGGTTCTTAACTGGTCAGGCCTCGGGACCCACTTTTCACTTGGTCAATACATCGCGACCCAACATTTTGAAGCACTCAAATCTATTCAACAAAAAATCGTGCTGTAATATATACGCTTACAATATTAATAAAAGTGAAGTACAGTGCATATATCCCTTCACAGAACTAAAGTATGCTTTTAAAAAAGGTTTAATGAGATGATGGAATCAAAGCTGAACTATATAACATAAAAAGGCACACATGCTGAAAACCCAACCCCTGCAGGGGGGTCTGGGGGGATTCTCCCACAGGAGATTTTTAGAAATACTAACATAAACTACGCATTCTGGTACAATCTGAGAAGAAAATAAATAAATCTATTACTACCCGACATATTAATAATATTTTATGCCATTGTTTGTTTTTCACTTTGTTCTGACATCTTGCTGCGAGAAGAGTAAAGAGGAGATAGTCTGTGTGACTTACTTTAAATTGTGGGTAAGGGTAGATAGCCCCCATTGTTCCACAGAACAATGGGGGCTATCTACCCTTACCCACAAGGGTACCTGTCAATCATCAAACCGGGGGTCATATTTCATTATGTGTTCATTTGTATCTGAAGTTGTACCCATGGATGTATAAAGAACAGTTCTACCGCAAAGTTATTCTCCGTGGGGACTTCCGGCAACAATCTTGATTCTGATTGGCCAGAAGACTCGAAAAAACATCAGCAAAGATGTTTTATTGAGAAGATGATCGTGACAGAAGTTTTCAAAACCGTTTATGGTCTCCGGTACTTCCAGTCCAACGCCGACTGCATGCACAGCGTTAGAAAATCGGGCCTTCAAAATAAAAGTTTGACTTTTCCCCCCCCCAAAAAAAACGTTCAACTTTTTTTTCTTCACTCACACATCCGCGACTCACTCGAAATGGGTCCGCGACCCACTTTTGGGTCGCGACCCACCAGTTGGGTATACATACAACTAGAAAATGCATTTCCTGCTGAAAATGCGTGTGAATGCTGAACTGTGAACATTTGTTGCTGAATTGAGCTGAAAATGCAGAAAAAGCTGAATATGTTATTAGCTGAATGGTAGCTGCTTGTAGCTACAGAGACCAAGTCAGTGTGTTGCTGAACTTAGCGGAGAAATGCAGAAAAGTGAAATGATTTGAATCAAATTGTTACAGCTCAAATGCATTGCAATGACTTTGTTGAAAACTTGAAAGTGAAATGTTAAACTGGAAGAGTAGGAAAAATAGTGAAGAAGATTAATATTTAAAAGAAAAGGTTTAAAAAAGGTATAAACAACAACATGTATAGCCTCAATGTCCTGAAATAGCTGAATAATGTAATAGTTGAATGATTTCTGCAGCTGAAAATAGGCTGAAGGAGTTACATATCAGATGTAAGTAGTAGTGAATGAATGTGTATTAAGAAGAGAAAAGAAAGTAAAAAGGCTTGGGAAAGCAGCAGAATATTTTAACTGCAAACTTTAGAACTAAAACCATACGTCACCAATAATGTATAAAATATGTGGAACATGTTGAAGTCAGTATGAAGTCTCCATCAGACAGAAAAGAATAGGCTGAGACAGTCTGTTAAAGTCCAGTCTGTTTGTCAGTGTTTGTTTCTGTGCTGAGCACCTAATCATAACACCTGTGTGTGAGCCCAGAGATCAAAGGTTTCCATGGTGATGTGCACTGATCTATGAGAGGAGAGCCTTTCCATTGATCTGAATGAGAGATAAACCTCTTACATTTGAACGTTTTGTTGAAGAACCGTAGCAGCTTTCGGTAAAATGTCAACGCGTGAAGCGTCTCAGGACCCTGACGAGCGTCTGAAGTCTGCTTTTTGTGCACTTTCGGGTCAATAATGTGGCATTTTTGGCAGATTTACTAAAGGTGTGCAGCTGCTGCTGTGAGGAAAGATCAGGCTGAATTTACAATGGGCCTTAATGGAGACATGTTGAAAGTTGTTGTCACTTCATGCCCTCAAGAGGCATTTTGCTTAATTATTTTTTATTTTTCAACATAGGAGAGGTTTTCCTACGTTTTTCATGAAAAATGATGCCCAAGGAAGGAGTGTAGGGTTTGGGAGTTATGGCAGGTTTAAAACATTTTTTGGGGCGAATTTCAAGCTGCACTCTGTTTTGAGATCAAAGTACTCTAGACTTAACGAGCTGCGCAATACACACTAATGTTAAAATCTGAAGAAGGCCTCTTTACCAATCTCCAAACTAAGTTAAATATCTCAAAAAGTGTAAAAGATATCAAGAATCTGAATAGGATTTTAATAGCTAAACGTTTTGTGATCATGTTAAAGTTGGAATGAAGTCTCTAGCTGAAAGTATGTGGAAGGAGAAGCATTTGGCGCAAGGTGTAGGTAAAAGAGGATTTGAAGGTTCCTCCCATTGAGTTACATGTTAATAAAATAGTTTAAAAAGCTGAATATTTAAAAAAGTATAACATATTTTGAAAAAGGCTGAATATTTTGATATTTGAATGGTTTCTGTAGCTGAAAGTAGGCTGAAGTTATTTGACGGCAAAATATTGGTTGAAATAAGAAGAAGATTAAAGAGAAACAGAAGAACTATAGTGGAATGCTGTGGCACAGCATTCGCACTAATAAGCAATTTCTATAAAGATGGTATATTTGTGTCCCTGAGACACTTCACCCCAAATTGCTCCTGTGGGGATTGTCCACAATATTGAGTATGAAAGTCGCTTTGGATAAAAGCGTCTAACAAGTGACATGTAATGTAATAATGTAATATTTAAATAATTCACTGAATTAGCCCAAGAGTACAATTTGCAACAGAAGGGGGATTTCTGGAAATACTTGCAGATTAGACACTGCTTGGTGGAAAAGTATCAGCCGAATGAAACAGACAACCCATTAGTTGACTATCTTCAAAACCCACTTAACCATAAGGCATCAGTATTCTATAGTAAATCAATGTATTTAACCAGCAGCACATGTGATCATTTGAGGATAATCTGGCAGAAAGACCTTGACTGTCAGATTGACGAAGATACTTGGAAACAGATTCTGACTGATAACGGTAAATATATTAAAGAAACTAGAGGTTAATTCACTCAGTATAAAACTCTACACCGGTACTACTGTACACCATCTAGGCCAGGGATGGGCAAATGGCGGCCCGGGGGCCCCCACCTCCTCTTTTTGCGGCCCTCAGATTAATTTATAAACAACGTAATTAATTAAAAAAAAATAAAAATAAAAAAGGTTTTTTATTTCTTTACTTGTAGTACTGATACCGTCCACTAGACTCCTAGTTACGTCGCGAGCTGCGTACATGATTTCGTTCGGCAGCCAAATACCCCGAAATAATCTGTGACGCGTTTGTGTGTATTGTGTTTGTTTCCCGGGAAACACTCACAAGAAACACCGGCTGTTGTTATGCCTGCTGTGACGTTAAGTTACCGCTTGTAATTATGCCTTTATAAGCTTAAAAGTTGCATTTATCATCTGAATTTGGCGAAACAAGTTTAATATTCTAAAAACCATGACTTTGTTTATTTGAAATCAGATGAAAACAAACTCTCACGGACCCTGCCGTGTTATCTATGATTACTATACGCTTTTCATTCATAATTTCAGCGGCGCTGAGGAACAGCAGAGTGCGGGTTGACAGGTGTCTGTGTTGACATTCCCCTTATTGTGCGTCAGCAGAGACAGGCTACAAGTGTCTTAGGTTCAAGTTAGACAACTAATGTCTGGGTTAGTGTTCATGACTTCATGTTTATGTCATCTTAATGGTTAATCTTGATGCACACACATTTCCCGTGCTTTCCAATAGTTTAAAATAGTTGTATTCCACTGTATTCCAATAGTTTAAAATAGTTGTATTCCACTGTTAAATAACCTGTTCAATACAAACATGCCACTTGTGAAAATTGTTTAGTGAGCTTATTAGAGGATGTTCCCTGAAAGATTGTAAAATGTCAATGAAGATGTCAGACTTAATTTGTTAATAATTACATACAATACATGGAATTTGTGTGTGTTCCAAGTGACTCTGCGGCCCCCTGGTGGTCAGTACATATATTATGTGGCCCCCACCACTATCCAAGTTGCCCATCCCTGATCTAGGCTTTTCAAAATAGGACTAATAAATACCAACACATGCTGGAAATGCAAGAAAGAGATGGGCACATTTGTACATCTCATGGTTCTATGGTCAACCCGTTTTGGCAAAGAGTGTTGGAATTCTTAGAGGCATGGGTAGGAATATCCTTGCCATTATCGCCACGTTTATGCCTATTGGGCGATAAAACAGAAATTCCAAAACTGACAACAAGTGCTCATTCAGTTTTAATGGATGGGATAACCTCAGCTGCCAGAACTATATTGAGACACTGGAAATCACCCACAATCCCAACATGTCACGAATGGAAGGCTCTGATGAGTGAAACAGCATCATATGAGGTTATGTTGGCAAGAATGAGGGGTAGAGGACCTGTGGTTCTAGGAAGTTGGGATTACTTTGTGGATTACCTGACCTCTAACCTGACTGTCACAAAAGGGCCTGTATACAATTATTCTAATCAAGCATCATTTGTTGTTATTATTTTATTTTATGATCGCTGTAGTGTCTGATTGGTAATCTTACACCTTTGTATTTTTCTGTTTTCTTTTTAACCAGGAACACTTAACTAACATGTTTTGTAGCCTGACCTTCCTCTTTCTGTATGCTGTACCATGTGAGCTATGTACCATGTATGTTCATAAATAAAAACTTTAAAAACAAACAAAAAAAGAATGGGGACATGCATCTGTAGCAGGGCGCCCCTCAGTCACATTTACTTGTACGAGTGTGATAATACGTTTTTACTTAAAGACCCAGTACCTTCTATGCCCAGCCGGATCTTCTTCAGTCCTCGGTCCTTCAGCACGGACTTGGCGACGTCTCTGTTCTCGATGTACTTGAAGAAGCGGTACAGCTTGGTGCTGTAGATGACTGTGAAGAAAAAGAGACATTCAGTACATGAACGCTCCACGTAAGGTTTGTATTGTTGTTATCAAACCGCACATAAATGTCAATACTTTCATAGTCTTTAAATATCGTCCATCTTCCCAACCCTGTCTGTAGCTCTCAGACCCATTGGTTACTACTCATGTATTTATATTTAAGAGACACATAACGTTTGCAAATGTATTTATTAAACAGAAAAGTGATGATATAATGGCATGCTTTAGCTCATTGCATTGCCAAAATACCATCCCTCTAATTCACTTTAAGGTCAGGGCTGACCTTTGAATACAATCCCCTAGACTTTGTTGGTGTTTGTTTCATCAGCACAAGTCACAAAGGCTTTAGTTGTTTTAAGGTTTTCTTTTTCATTCTACTGACCTCTTCTGTTTTGTTCAGGTTGAAGGACCTCATGCTGTTAAAGGAAGTTGTATTTTTGTCCTTTGAAGTCTGCTAAACTTTTCTGCAGCCTCGTGCAGTGACATGTCAGTTCTTTTAATATCTTTCTTGACTTTCAACACATGTTCTTTTTTACTGAAAATGTCCCAGTTATCTTTATTTTCTGGTAACATGTCTGACAGTGGAAATAGGCAGTTTAATGACAGTTGTTGCAGCCTTCTCCTAGTGGGTGGAAGGGAACCATCTTGAGTCTGAAATCCTTGGTCAGCCTCTGAGAGGATGCATGGTTAAATAGCCGCTGAAGCTGGATACTTTAGAAGGCATTGAGTTTCCTCAGAATAAATATTTTAGAATGGAATTATTTTTAGCTGACTGATTAAATCCCTTACATGTATATCATCTTGGTCTGGGCCTTAGTAATCATTCTTGTCAAAAGTAACAAAACCATCCAAAACGTTTTTGTACAGGGCCCACTTTATCAATTGTAATTATTTGTATTTATTATCAGACTTAAAATATGATTTAACTGTGTACAATTTAGAATTCTGGTAAGCTTTATTCACACATTTCGTTGTAAAAGGCTGATTTAATCATTGTTGGATTGTTTTGATTGTTTTTTGACGAGAAACACCAACGCACAAGTCATTTTGATCTGCAAAAAGGAATAATTAAGATTTCAAAACTTCTGCCGCATTTGCTGTGGATACAGTCTTATTACTCCTCTTTCTAGTATACATGTTCTTGTTGTCATCTGTAGAGAGATCTGTAGAGAGATCTGTAGAGAGATCTGTAGAGAGATCTGTAGAGAGATCTGTAGAGTGATCTGAAGAGTGATCTGTAGAGTGATCTGTAGAGAGATCTGTAGAGAGATCTGTAGAGAGATCTGTAGAGTGATCTGTAGAGTGATCTGTAGAGAGATCTGTAGAGTGATCTGTAGAGTGATCTGTAGAGAGATCTGTAGAGAGATCTGTAGAGTGATCTGTAGAGTGATCTGTAGAGTGATCTGTAGAGAGATCTGTAGAGTGATCTGTAGAGTGATCTGTAGAGTGATCTGTAGAGAGATCTGTAGAGAGATCTGTAGAGAGATCTGAAGAGTGATCTGTAGAGTGATCTGTAGAGAGATCTGTAGAGTGATCTGTAGAGAGATCTGTAGAGAGATCTGTAGAGAGATCTGTAGAGAGATCTGAAGAGTGATCTGAAGAGTGATCTGTAGAGTGATCTGTAGAGAGATCTGTAGAGAGATCTGTAGAGAGATCTGTAGAGTGATCTGTAGAGAGATCTGTAGAGAGATCTGTAGAGTGATCTGTAGAGAGATCTGTAGAGTGATCTGTAGAGAGATCTGAAGAGTGATCTGAAGAGTGATCTGTAGAGTGATCTGTAGAGTGATCTGTAGAGTGATCTGTAGAGAGATCTGAAGAGTGATCTGAAGAGTGATCTGTAGAGAGATCTGAAGAGTGATCTGTAGAGTGATCTGTAGAGAGATCTGTAGAGTGATCTGTAGAGTGATCTGTAGAGTGATCTGTAGAGAGATCTGTAGAGAGATCTGTAGAGTGATCTGTAGAGTGATCTGTAGAGTGATCTGTAGAGAGATCTGTAGAGAGATCTGTAGAGAGATCTGTAGAGTGATCTGTAGAGTGATCTGTAGAGTGATCTGTAGAGAGATCTGTAGAGAGATCTGTAGAGTGATCTGTAGAGAGATCTGAAGAGTGATCTGAAGAGTGATCTGTAGAGTGATCTGTAGAGTGATCTGTAGAGAGATCTGTAGAGAGATCTGAAGAGTGATCTGTAGAGTGATCTGAAGAGTGATCTGTAGAGTGATCTGTAGAGTGATCTGTAGAGAGATCTGTAGAGTGATCTGTAGAGAGATCTGTAGAGAGATCTGAAGAGTGATCTGTAGAGTGATCTGTAGAGAGATCTGTAGAGAGATCTGTAGAGAGATCTGAAGAGTGATCTGTAGAGTGATCTGTAGAGAGATCTGTAGAGAGATCTGTAGAGTGATCTGTAGAGTGATCTGTAGAGAGATCTGTAGAGTGATCTGTAGAGAGATCTGAAGAGTGATCTGTAGAGAGATCTGTAGAGTGATCTGTAGAGAGATCTGTAGAGAGATCTGTAGAGTGATCTGTAGAGTGATCTGTAGAGTGATCTGTAGAGAGATCTGTAGAGTGATCTGTAGAGAGATCTGTAGAGAGATCTGTAGAGAGATCTGTAGAGAGATCTGAAGAGTGATCTGAAGAGTGATCTGTAGAGTGATCTGTAGAGAGATCTGTAGTTCTCTCTGTGTGTGCAGTAGGTGCAGCAGGCGCAGAAAGTGCTGACGCCTACAGCTGACTTTCAAAAAAGAAGCTGCTGCTACAGAACACCTGTGGGTTCATTTGAGTATAAACAGGTCTGGGATCATTGACAGTCTCTTACTCTGAGAGTACTCCTCTCCCATCTGGGGGGGGGTACTCTTCGTCCCAGTCCACCACGTCGTCGTCGGTCAGCACAACCACGTGACACTCCCTCTCCCCGCTCTGAGCACTGGCCACCATCAGCGGCAGCACCATCTCCTCCAGGTAACACTCAAACTGATGCCGGGCCCCGTCGTTAGACAGCTCGTGCATCAGGGCGCCTGGGGGGGGCAGAGAGAACACAGAGATGAGAGGAGACAGAGCACGGGGGGGCTGGAGGACACTGTGCTGGACATTCACCTGCCCTCCAACAGCCACTAAGCCACATCAACAGTTCAACTTCCATTCTGATATACTAAACATACATCTCTTTTCAGAGTGAATCATTGCATTCTTATGGTACTGACTTTTTATTTTATTTCAAATTTCAAATCGTTTTTGAAACTGTTTTTTAAAGTAGTTCATATATTATATATAATTAATATATCCGTAATTCCTTTGACTGTGTATGTATGCACCATTAACCACTAGAGCAAATTATTTGTAAACCTACAAGCATACTTGCCAACCTTGAGACTTCAGAAATCAGGAGCATTTGAAAACCACCGCGGGGGGGGGGGTGGGGTGCTAGTGGATCGCCAGAGCTGTTAGATTAACATTAACATGCTTATTGTAGTTGTAAGTGCACTGCCTCGCGGCCTGTAGCACCATGGAGCATATGTGTGGGCTGGACCTGTATTTTACAGGAAAGGAGTGAGCAGAGGGTCGAGTTGTCCATTCTTGTTCTGTTTTCTGTGACTATCTTCCTCACCATGCTGAACACCCTCTCAGACTTTCAGTTGCACACGCTACTAAAGAGACGCGCTACCATGGAAACCAAACAATGGTGTAGCTGTATTAAAGTCCGAGTGGAAACAGTCGTGAGTAAATCTGATTTTGTCAGAAATCGGGAGAAATATGACCCCGGGAGGAAACCGGGAGAGGGCAATGAAATCAGGAGGGTTGGCAAGTATGCTATCAAGACGTTTGACACTGAAATTGTACACGTAAATAAATCACTACTGTTCTTTTGACTTCCTTCAAATATCGACCTGAAACTGAAATGTCCATTAAAAGCAGCCCCGACACTTTGGAGTGCAGAAGATATGAATAATTTATTATTATTTATTAGTTGCAAACCCAAAAGTGGTAATTATAAATACATCAGAGATTAGTCTGTTTCCTGTATTTATTCATACTTAGAATTAACATAATTAAGGCAAAAATGAAACTAAATCTTTAGAAAGGATCATGTATTTAAGACTTTTGAAAAAGCGACAAAAAATAGCACATGAGAGATGCAATATAGTTGTACATACGTTTTGAATAAAGGTGGATTTTTGCACCATGAGTATAGCTACTGTATAAGCGTGCGTCCTTAAATATATTAATGTGGAACACATTCCTGACAACGGTTTCTCACTTTTCCACTGATCGACAAGTAACAAATGGGTCAAAAAATGCAGCAATGTGCCAAAAGTGCAAGAAGAAGAAGTAGACAACTTGCAAGTAAACATGGATGTTTCAAATGTGTAATTTAAAGGAAAAGTTTTACGAGAGAGGAAATATATTCTACATGTTTGTGAGCCCATAGTGACATGTAAAAGCAAACATAGTTCACAAAAATAAATCCACAGGGATTCTTCTGGGTTCTTCTACTGCTAACTCAACTCCAAATATAAAAGGAGGATCAATACAATTGTAATAGTGCTCTATTATTACTAAGATCTATTATTGTGAAGTAATGATGGAAGGTTCTGGAAGTAAATGTATAATGGCTCCAGTCCTCAGAGATCTGAGGGCTATTTCAGGAAACTTATGGTGCTACAGGTGATCCTTTTGAGGCAGAACTGCACCAGTTATGACCTAAGTCTTACTTTTATAGAGCTGCTGACACATTATAAATGCAAATAATAAAAAGAGTAATAGTTCATTTACCGTTTAACTGCAGAAAAGCAGTAACTCATGACAGAAAACCTGTAAGTCCTCATCCTGTTGGTGCAACAATGAAAGCTACTTGCCTGCATGACCAGCATTACATCTCACAGCTAATCATGACCTACTTAGAGCCACTCACACACACACACACACACACACGCTTACACGCTCACAGCATGCTCCTCCCACACACTCAAGAGACACAAACAAGATGTACAAACATGTCCAATTACATTACACATGCAGCATTTAAAACAGCATATAGTAATGTGTGTGTTGTATAGGCATTCAAGCAAGCAGCACTGATGCTTCTCTATTATGTAATGATGTACTTACTGTGCATTTAGCATGATAATGGAGTGTATGCTTACTTTAAGCTCTGATAATAACTCCTGCATACAGTAAATGCTGTATTTATGTCTCATCAACAATACTTAGCATCAATGAATGAATCAGTGGTTGACTAGACATGAACAGTGAACACCACATTGTAGAAGCAAAGCAAAAGCTGTTTGTGTTCTACTCTATAGTTCAGCACCACAGTAACAAAGCATAGGAGTGCAGCTCCATCACACACACACACACACACACACACACACACACACACACACACACACACACACACACACACACACACACACACACACACACACACACACACACACACACACACACACACACACACACACACACACACACACACACACACACACACACACACACACTACTCACTGAGGTCTCTGCACTTGATGGTGCTGTAGTTGAAGGCAATGCAGAGGTAGTCACATGCCTCCCTCAGCTCGGGAATGGAAACGCCGTCAGGGCAGCGGATTATCCCCGACTTGTAGTAATCCTGCCATTTTTCAGCAGCGCACGCACAGACACACACAAATAAATACACAGGCACAACGGCAGGCAGTCATGCGCACACACGAGCGAGGGAGAAAAAACAAGACGCCATTATTGATGCTGCCTCACTCGGAGAGAGAGAGAGAGATGAGGGAGGGGGGGGTGGGGAGGGAGTTGTGATGTAAGTAAAGAGACGTCACAGGCGGGAGAGAGACTGAGAGGAGAAGGGGAGGGCTGAGGAGCTGAGGGTGATGAAAGCAACGCTAACAACGTCACTCCCCCCCCCCCCCCCCCCCTCTATGTCACATGACACTGTCTCCCAGGAGAGGATGTGCTGTGCCTCACAAAGAGGATAGCGCTCACCTCTCACTTCCTGTTCTGTGCTTCCCTCACTTTCTAGTCTCCATAATCCAATAACAGTCTAGTTGCCAGCTCATAGAGTCTTTGAGCTGGCAGCATTTTGAACCCGGAAATGTTTAGAACCCCAAAGTTTTATGTTAGAAATATATAGTAGGGTCCCCAGCACATAGAAACTGCCGGATGCTAACCTGCATATGTTGGGCAATTAGCACAAGTTGTGTTAATTAGCATTAATTACCATTATAGCCTATGAGGACAATGGTAAAAAAAAATGGCTTGGCTGATATCCGTATCCGTGAGCTGATTTTGATACATTTTGGGTTGATTTGAAAGATTTAAGAGACTCATTGGATTGGACAGATTTGTTATTTATAAGAGAAATAACAACGTTACTACTGCACTGTGTCTTCCTGCACAGTAGAGAAAGCTATTTTCATCTTGTGTTCTCCTTTTAAAGTAGGTTGCTACACTACTGGTGGTAGTCAAAACAGCCCATCAGGAGTACACATATGACAACTTTCTGCCATTAATGATCCTGAACATTTCCAAAATGGATTCATGGAGATGCACTCACAAAGATCAGTCAGTGTGCCAGAAACATTTTAGATACAAAAGCTCACGTAGAAGGCTCACAGGAATATTTATAAATGCATGTGCAATATACCCTCATGCAATTCATGTTTTTTTATTCTCTTAATTTATTTAAAATCAGAAAACACAAGCTAAGTCTTTCATTCTGTATGGTCACATACATATAGTGTACTTAGTATACTGCTAATTTGTTTTCACCATGGTGAACTTATCTGCTATTTGTTGTTTTACTTATTATGTTTTTTATTATTAATAACATGTGCATACTTATTTTTTTTATTTTTTAAATGTACGTCTATTCTCTTGACTTTATCTGCACTATACCTCTGCTGATGTAATAACGTACATTTCCCAGCTGCGGGACAAATAAAAGAATTCTCATTCTGATTCACGAGATGCTGGGACGATGGAGATGAGGCTTTAGGGGGCATTAGAACTGGAGAAAGGTACGATCTACTACCTCTACAAGCCCCCCAGGACTGCCATTAGCACCACATGCTACTGCACTGTGTCTTCCTGCACAGTCATCAACTGGCTGCTCCTAGTCAGATATCACAGCCTTAGAGCATATGAAAGAAAAGTGCATCTTTATGTCATTAGAATAGAAATGCAATAAGTAGGCATAATAATAGAAGCATCTGTAATGGAATACTGTTACTACAGCCATATATATCATGTTTTCTGTCTTGATCTAATAAATAACTTGAAGGTCAAAGTTTAGACCTTGGAAACTACATTTTACAAAAAACGTTCACTACAAGGTGAGTTTAGAAGCTTTCTCCGACTCTCGATCCGTTCCCACAAGCTTCTATCAGCAGATGGATGAGGAGGCATTTTCCTTTTTGTTCATAGCACTTGATACATGATGCTTGAAAGCTCCAGAGCAGCGACTGGATGGACTTTGTGGTGAGATTGTTTCCTCAGATCCTGTTGTGAGACACAGCTGACTTTTTCATCGTTGCCATTCATATTTGTTTCAGGTTAAGCAGGGTTTAGTCTAAACCAGCTAACAGGGGCGCTGCGACATCTTACTTTTGGCGTGTGCCCTCATACCAAAATGTGTTAAGATTTGTGTAGAAGAATCTTTGTTGGAGAGTATCACTTAATAAATTACTGCAAACATATCTTGGAATGTTTTACTATCTACACTTGCTGTCTCACCTTTTAAGAACAATACAAAGAGAAACAATACATGTCCCCCTCAGGTAGCCTCAAAAAGCTTCTATTCACATCACATTTTCAAAAGCTCCGCACCATGGAAGGGGGGGGGAGTGTCCCTGTTACGCACCATCCCCTGCTTGGTCGCTCCACTCCCACGCCACAGTATTGCCCTCATACTATATTTTCTAGAAAAACCCCTGGCAGGAACATATGAGATATGTCATTTCGGGACTTGGGCACAAGAGTAAGTGGTGACAAGGTTGAGTTCAAAAAGGTTTGAAATGAGGGGAGGTGTTTTCTGGTCTCCATCAGGTTGCTTCACTGATGGATTTTAAAATGCTGTTGTTTTCAAACAACAGCATTATCTTGAGCATTCAGTGGTAACTGTCCACTTTAAATATTAGGTTGTAAGTTTCATTAGAATGGAAGTTTATCTGTAGGCAGGTACAGGCATGCAACGATCACATGACCCCCTAACTGAGATAACTACTCAACACAACACCACTCACTAAAGCCTGATTAACATCCAAGGGCTGGATCTAAATCTCTCTCACACGTTGTCAACATATACAACAATGTTTTAGGCCTAGGCTCCACGGGAACTAAAACGGGTTGAATCCGCATATTTCTCTTGCGTATAGCCCTTTAAGCTAGACGACGCCGTAACGGAACGGTAGAAACGGACCCTGCAAACGACAACGGGTCCAAAGGTGGATAGATCTGGGAACGGAGCGCTCTGGGGGGTCCAACGGGGCCGTGTGGTCGCCTATACGGTCATCATTTTCTGATAATGACGACACAATAGCCCCGCCTCTCCCCACCTCTGCTGCTCACCCCCGCAAAAGTACACTGCACACTGAATTCAGATTATTTATCTTTATCTCGATATGGACATAAACGCGAGTGAAGTCTAATCTGACAGGACGGAGACACGCAGCTCCTCCTGCTGTAATGCAGCGGGAGCAAAACACACACTTCAAGTCAGATCATCACCCTTAGCTATTTTAATTACCTCTCAAACTACCTAAACTAGTTATAAATATGTTTATTTTTACTGTCGGGTCACTCATTACTGGATCAGCTGCTGCATGAGACAGACACTGACGCTGTCAGAAGAGAGGAAAAAGAGAGGACAGGCTCTGTGTATTTTATTATTATATATCATTATATAGAGTCATTATTCATTTGTTTTAAAGCTTAATAAATAACAAAGAAGACCTTTGACCGGCACTTTTATAATTTTGTCCGGAAGATTTAAACTTTAACACACGTTGACCGGCGAAAAACTCTGCCCGGTTCCCTCGGCCCCCACCGCGGAGAATAAACAGAAGTGCAGCCATGACAACCATTCTTCTTCGCTGCTTTTGTGGAGGAAGTTGCTGCTTTTGTGGAGGAAGTTACAGCGCCACGTACAGGCTCGGCATATGTACTGCAGCTTTTCCAGCGGTTGGATGTAAACGGAGCTGTCTCGTGTGAACAGACACTATCCGATGTATATTGCGTGTGGACGGAAGCTTTTTGGCGTTTGCGTTTGCGTTAATCCTATGCGTTTTTCCGTATGCGTTCCCGTGGAGCCGGGGCCTTAGACACAGGTGGTTTGATGACAAGTTAGGAAAATATAAAGGTGATTAACAACTATTTTCCAAAGAGACAAAATAAAATTGCTTTACACTAATACAACAATTATTAAAAGAAGTGGGATCTAATCTCGCCGACAATTTTAATGACAAAGGTGTTGGGAATTATGTACGGACTATTTGAAATATTTAAGATGGTACTGCAGTTGGTGATTAACAGAAGAAGCAAAAACGCTCGGACAGTTTTCTTTACATAGCTGAACGAAAGACTCCAAACAGAACTTCCATAAAACACTGAGCTGAACATCCCTCATTCATCATTATATTGTCATTACAAGCAGTAAGGAGAGACCAATGAAATGGAGAGGGTGGAGTGGAAGAGAAGGAACAGAGAAGGAGATAGGTTGTTGTAGTTTTACTGAGATAAAGTGTGAAGACAAGGAATTACTGTGCATAGAAAAGGACAGACAAAGAATGACAGTGTATACAGATGAAGAACTCACCAAAATGGCTCTGAAGACGGTGGAGCTGATGCCATCGGCCACCTCAAACTCTCCTTTCTCATTGGGTCTTGTGAAGTTGTTGTCCCGCCCAGAACCAAACATCCTGAAAACAAACAAGTAATAAATAAATCAGGATTCCTTCAACTTCAAAGAAGTCAAAGAACAGCCGAGTAGAGCAGTGATCAGTTTATGTTGCTGGAGTTTTACCCTCTCATCGCAGAATTAAAGAATTCCAAGACATTGAAGTTGTTGCATCAACTTCTTTCTATCTGAATGCATGTAAACATCACAACTGCGTCCTGGTTAGCCGTCATAAAAACAATGTATTGTTTTATTAAAGTGTGTCACAACCCCATGCTGTGACAAAAACTTTACACAAGCTAACACCTTGATCTTTGGTGAGAGAATTGGTGTGAGCAATCAGGTGACATTCATAAGGGCAACTGTTATGCTTTTGACATGAAAGGAGAAAAGAGGAGGATGGGGTTGTGGTTTCAGCACCACTACAGGTACAGTTTTTAGGAGGTGGGAATTAGAGACTGTTTATCCCTTTATGCAGCAGATAGTTTAATGCATGTCCTGATCCTTTGACATTAAAGTTATTGTGTTTCCCTGCATGAACTCTCTTTTTGTCCTCACCTGCCGAGCATGGTGTTTGGTTGAGCGGTGAAGATGGCAGGATCCACCACAAATCTGGTGTTATCCACGATGAGAGTGACTCTCTCTGCCAGCCTCAGAACACTGCGATGCCCCTCCTTACTGCTGAGGTCATACACGTAGATCATATCGCAGGGCCCCGCACCCAGCGCCTTAATGACCCGAGGTATGTGTCCCCCCATCAGGGCCCCTCCAATGTGGGAATAAGGAACAGAACTCCTGGGGGGGCGAGGACTGGAGGATCTGGAGGACGAGCCTCCGTCGCCACGTTCACGGTCTGTGGGAAACAGGAGGACACATGAACATGAAAACACACACACACACACACACACACACACACACACACACACACACACACACACACACACACACACACACACACACACACACACACACACACACACACACACACACACACACACACACACACACACACACACACACACACACACACACACACACACACACACACACACACAATTAGCATAAGTTGCATTAATTAGCATTAAATACCATTATAGCTTATCTTGAAAATAGTTACATGACTTTGCAGATTTGGACAATTTTGGAGTGGTTCTGGGGGTTATTGAGGATGCTGAATGCATTTCTGACATTTGTATGATCAATAATGGCAGTTAAAACCATAAAGTGGCCATATTTGTTATCTTGTTGGCTGATTTTTTTTGAACATTTTGGGTCGATTTGGAAGTTTTATGGGAATCTCGATTAATAGGATTGGACAGATTGCTCATCTTTAAAAATAAATTCTCAGCAGTAGAGGTAATCATTTTCATCTTGTGCTCTCTATATGCAATGGTCGCAACATTACTCATGGTAGTTAAAATCAGCCCATCAGGAGTACAAATATGGCCACACCATTTTGTATCCTTAAAATGTCAGAAATGGATTCAGTATCCTCAATAACCACCAACAAAACTCAAAAACTCTCCAAATTGGCCAAACCTTTTTTAACTATTGTTTTCATAGGCTACAATGCTAATAAATGCTAATTACCATTACGTATGCTCATTGTGCAATTTGCCCATGCAGGTTAGCATCCAGCAGTTTCTATGTGCTGGGGACCCTACTATACATTTCTAACATAAAGCTTTGGGGTTCTAAACATTTCCGGGTTCACGCCGCTGGTAACTACACTACAAGATAACGATCCTCCTTCTTCCTCCTCACCATGCTGCCGAGTGGGGGAGGTGAGGTTCCTGATGCAGGGCGTCAGCTGGCTTTCCCCTCTCTCGTGGGAGGAGTCCCGTGAGCGGTCACTGGACCGCCGCTGCTGCTCTCTGTGATGATCTGCTCCTCCTCTTTCTCTCGCCCCGCCCACAGCCCCCCCGGCGGCCCAGCCGCTGGCCCCGGCCCGGTAGAGGCTCATGGTGCCGACCTGCTGCTGGTGGTCGCAGTCCAACACTGACAAACCACACTGCCGCTCACTGAGGGGAGAGCACAGTTATGAGCATGACTCATTTCAGCTCAGCACTTTATGATTATATGGAGAATATTTGGTTTAAAATTGGACATCAAAGAGATTTCATGAAGCAAGAATGTCATTTTGTCTGACATTGAGTTTTTGTAAGATGACCCCAGACGAACATGAGCACCAATAAACTGTATTTATGACTTTTTTGAAACTATTATAAAATACAGACTACATTGCCGAATCCAAATTGTCTTTGTTCTAAATGGTTTGGACAATATCATTATTTTTGCCAACTTAATAAGCCTCTCAATTTCATGTTTTTTGTCGACTTGTTCTTCCTGCAACCAAAATCTTATAATAATAATAAATGGTTCAAAATAACCATATCTTATTTTATTGCACTTCATTCTTTTTCTTATTTCATTTTCATATAAGGTAAAAAAAACACTAGGGGAAAATCATTACCTATCTGAGGTATTATTTTAAAAAAGAAAGGAAAAAGGAAAAAAAGTCTTGACTTTTCCGGCAGGATTTGCTTCCTTTCAAAAAGAAACAAAACAAAATAGTGAACAAATAGCTGATAATCATATACCAAGAGCTCTTCCTTATCTGGATTTGACCACGTCACTCTGCTCCTGCATGTCTGCTCAGATAAGGTGACCCTGTGATGCAGCCATGACCAGATCATTGGAGAATGAAGAGCTCACTGTAGAAACTGATGCAGAGATTCTCTGGTGGAAACATTTCCACAGTTGCATGGGATGTAGGCCTACTGTCATATTGCCCAACCCTAATGCAGTCGAATGTTTAAAATACATTTACCGCTCTGCTGATGAAGATGGGGGTGGGGGGGGGGGGGAGAAGGCATTAGTTTCAAAACGTTTAAAACGTGATTCCGACCTGCCATAAAAGTTTGATACGGTCCAAACTTCAAGTCCAAGTGGAATGACACAACAAATCATCAGACACCTCAGACACTGATGCAGTACTTCATGCAACACTGAGGCCCCATTTACACGGAAACGCAAACGAACCAAATTCGATATCAAAAAAGTATTCCATTCACACTGATACGGCTCAATAAACGTGTCCCTTCACACGAGACCGCTCGACCCGCTGGAGACGCTGTAGTACATATGCCGGGCCTGTAAGTGGCGCTGTACTTCCGCCACAAAATACACCAAAAGCAGCGAAGAAGACCCCCGAGCATGGTTGCCATGGTTGCCCTTCTGTTTATTCTCCGCGGTGGATTTAGCAACATGTAGTTCATGTAGTTCTCCATGTCCACTTGTTGCTGATGGTTGTGGTAGAGGAGCTGTAGATTTTGCACTAACATCTGTAGCATGGTCAGTAGCTACTGACAGTAGCTACTGACCATGCTACAGATGTGAGCAGTAGAGGTGGGGAGAGGCGGGGCTATGGCTTCATCGTTATCAGGAAAATGATCGTATAGGACATCGTACACACAGCCGTTTGGCCCCCCAGAGCGTTCCGTCCGCAGATCTATCCACCTTGGGACCCGTTATCGTTTTAGGGGTCCGTTTCCGCGGTTCCGTTACGGCCTCGTGTGAACGAACGGGCTATACGAAAGAGAAAAGTAGCGGATACAACCCGTTTCGTTCCCGTGTAAACAGCACCTGAGTAAACTCTATGCACGGATTTGACCCTCTGTAGACACTCATTCAAGGATCCAACGATTTATCATCATCATCATTATGCAATACAGGATTGCACAATGAAATGCAGTAAGCCTCACACTCACACACACAGTTGTGGTGGCTCGGGGTAAAGGGTTTGTTTTTAGACTTCTGTTAGACTTGTGAGCTGTGGACCGCAGTAAAAAGTCTGCATTAAGACCTCGCAGGAGCAGAGTGCTGCAGAAACAAGGACCACACAAAACCACTAACCTCCGCCTGCAGCTACACACACCACCCCAACATCCATTAGAGTGTGTATCCATGTGAAACAATCCTGAGTATGCGGAACTCACTAAGGTACAGGACAACACACAGAAATGTCCTCCTGTGTTTAATCCCTCCACAGGCGGCTGTTTCACTGATTCTTGACTGAGGTTTAATAATCACTCCGCTTCGCCTCAAAGCGAGTGATGCTTCCTGCAGTGTTCACTGTAGTTTAGACAAGCAGCCTGAGAGAGCTCTTAGTATGTGTCCATTCCAGACAGGACTTAAACAAACACTCAGCAGCATGCATTTATGCTCAGGATCAATGACCACACATGCAATAACTTGAGTACAAGTCAAAAAATGACGATATGTCCTTTTCCATTTTTTTTATGTGATTTAATAATGCAAAGGTTAACAATCACAGTGTGTAATGCTATTGACTTCGACAGTCACATATTGCAGTTCCAAATGGACAAGTGAAAATATGCACATTCAAAAGTAAACTAACTATATGACGACTCAAGATAATTGCTAGTGTGTGTTGTGTGTGTTTTTGCACAAGTATTGCTGTTAAAGCATTGGTTATTATGTACTGGACTGGTGAATGGCACAATTGGCCAGAAAATATCAACCAACATCAGCAGTTGGTCACACCTGAGGTGAGTGTATCAGTGTATTTAGTTAAGTATTTAAATGGACACCACAGCTGTATTACTATATATTTATCCACAGTGCTCATGTTAGTAGTACCTTATTAACAACACCTCAACAGTGGGCTTTAGAAAAAAGATCCCTGCCCAGATACCAACGATTTCGCTAGATTATTGATAGGAAGGTGAAGGATGATACAAAACAATTTCTAATATAAATATTTTCTTGCTTTATTATGACAAATGACATACATGGAATTGTATTACTAAATGCATTAATTGAACTTTCACTGTGACAGTGTAGCTTTCTGCCCAATAGATTGAATTTTTAGGCCCGAGACACATCCAGGTCTCAGTAATGAAGAGAGAGGAGCTCTTCTGAGAGGAGCTGCTATGAAATATGATGATGATCATCTCCTGTAGGCTGTGGAAACAGAGAGATGGGAAATGGGGGCAAGGAGTGCTGGAAGGACAGAAAGAGAGAGGTTTCTTTTTTATTTTATTTTTGTAATGGAATTAGTGACGTAAAAAAGCAGATTTCTTTAAAAATAAAGCACTTTTCACAAAGCCCTGACTTCACCGAGACAGATAGACATAGAGGTTTTTTTTATCATTTAAACAAACGGTCAATCAAGCGTGTATCGGTTCTGAAAGCAGGGGATTGATAACTGAATATGAATGTATGTTTTGTTTCTATGCCCCTTGCCCATTTAATACGCTGAGAAGTCTGTGGGCCACTAGGGGACATCTGAATGTGCAGAACAGAGGACTGATGGGGGGGGGGCTGATTGGATGTGTAGACCCAGACAGAGTAGACCAAGGAGTAGCAGGACCAGTGGAATGACAGTGAATGATCAACAATGCACATTATGATGACTGCACATTACCTTCAATCCCCACCAACGCCTGGGATACACTCAACGTACCACATGAACCTGTTTGAAGTCGTCCTATGCGTATAGTGTGTTCTATAGCTTTCTGTGCATGTAAATGGTCTGCAAAGGCTAACATCCCTGTGTGCCCTCCAGAGGGATTCTCTCTCCCACACTTACATTAATCTTTCAATATACCTCAAGGTTAACATTTTCAGAAATCAAAGAGTAAAATAAGATGCTGTTTTTTTTACAACATGACAGCTTCACAGCTGCAGACTGACAATGTCATTGAAAATAATCAAGGGTTCATAGGGAGGTATACATCAGTAGACCTTACTTAGAGAATATCAATTATACAACATTAATGAAAAACAATTAAGTATCCTTTTGCAAACAGCCACAGTTAAGTGATATGGCTAGGAGATGACTGATTAGTATGCTGTGTTTAATCTCAAATGGGATTTGAATGCTTAGCAGAAATGGGGTATTAAAAACAAGTGTGTCTTGCCGCCAAACAGGCAGGCAGCAGTGTCCAGAGCAGGCCCGGGGAACAAAGGAGGCAACATTTCACTCAGGGCAGCAGCACTCTCATCTTTCACATGGCGATGCAAATCTCCAGCAGCCGAGATTTCACACAGCCACTAAGAACTAGATGGGGGCTAATATTTCACTTGTCCAATTTCCTGGCAAGAGGCACCACCCCACTGATTTCACTATTTCCTTTTTATTTTCCTGAATACGTTCAAATGGTGCTCACTAAGTGCTCGCAAGTGTGCGTTGTTAAATACAAGTCAAGTTAACAAACACATCTAAGTCACAATAATTAAGATAAAGATGGATGCTGGCTAGCAGTCTATTAAAAGCACGAGGTAAGAGCCCCGAGGGGTGAGGGTCCCATCTATTATTTAGGGGCTGCTGCTGACACCGACACAAGGGCATAAGAGCTGCTCTCAGCAGTCTGGGATGAAATCCATTACAAGGAGGCTGAACATTGGATATTAACAGGGAAAGGATTCGAACATCCCCCTTAAGACACTAATATGAGGTCCATCCTTTGGAATAGAAAATGTTTATGGCAATTTCTCCTTACATGGAACATAAAAGACTGCCATTAAAAATCATAAGACTCTCTAATGAGTACCAGAGTGTCCCATCAAGGGTAAGACAATGATTTTCTTTCTAGGTCACTATTATAATGACAGTAAATCACACAAAGAGAGAAAAGCCGGGTACTGGCTGTACATGTCCCACAATGACGGAGCTACAGCCCGGTGCTGTGCGCCGTGTACGTACCGCTCGGTGAGAGAGGGCCGGCTGAAGACAAAGCAGCAGGGGATGATCTGCGGGAGGACCGCGGCGCAAAAGCCCTGCGCTGCTCCGAACAAAGCGGGCTTCCCGGCAGCTTCAGCATCCTCGCACATTACTTTCCAAGTTCATCAGCATCGTTTCACACACACAACCGTGATTCAAACTCGCTGCTGAAATCCAACGATTCGACCCAAAGCTTCAGATGTGTCTAAAGGGCGATGAAGGCACGCACCGGCTATCACTCTGTCACCGGAGGACCTGAAACTGTGAATGGCTGCGTGCTGACTGAATCAGAGCGGTGCTGCGTTCAGGGGCTGCTTGTAAACTCCCACTTCTGAGTCCTTCATTTGCTAGTAACGCATTTCATTGACGTTGATCCGGAACAGGTCCTAATTTAATCAATAGCAAGGTGGCTGCCATATCCCACAAGACCCCCAATTGAACATCTTATAAAATAATGTTTTGGAAGATTTGCATTATGTTGGAACCAAAATCATACACAACACCCCTCAAAACCAGGCTATTGGTATTCTCAACAAAATCATGTTAAACAAACCATGTCAAGTCATAACTGGATTTGATTTGGTAAGGGACATACATATATTCCCCTGTTAACTTGCCACAACCCGCTGCTTAAAATGTGAAAGAACCCTTGAGTAGACAATTTCTCCCTCATCATGTAATTAAGCTTAAATTCAATAAAGAAGAAGTCCATAAATAAAAGAACATGCCATCATTGCCTGATAAAAAAACTACATTCTGTAATTATTTTTAGTACACTACAAATATTTAAAAATCTCTAAACAAATAACATAACCTACTTGTTAACTCAGGTTAACTTCTTTTATCACCATTAACAACATTCAAATCATGTCATTACATACTAATTTTAATTTGCACTGTCGCCAGCAGAGAGCCCACAGCTTGATCGTAGAGCAATGGTTAACATTCATTGAAATAACAGCCTGTCCTCCTCCAAAAAACGACCAAATAGGTTGATTGTTCAGCAGCTTATTACGACCTACAGTATAGTCACGTTTTAAAGTTTAGCACCTCTAGTGGTCGTGTAAGAAACAACAATTTGCGGCATATGGGCTGATGCTCCCTTTGATTGCAACGTATATATATATATATATGGGTCGTATATTCACAAATAACCCTCTCTGGAAAATCCTAAATTGTAGGATAGTTTGGCCATTAAAATGCTTTTTGATTTGATTTCTAGCGAGAAGTGTATATTGTACTTTTAGAATCTACGTCCAGTGGATGTGTAGGATCTATAGTTTGATAGATATTACGAAGATGATTTGAGGTCTCGCCAGGAGAACGTGTATATACTACGTCTTTCCCCTATTCATTTCTATTGACGGCAGCGTCCATGTAAAGTTGGCGTCAACCCTCACAGGGTGAAAACAGTATTTCCGGTCTCGAAGTTTTCATAATAAAACCGGAAGTATTCCCCTCACTGTCAAATGATTTTACAGTGATATCTGCAGTCATGGTTCCTGTAGGTTTCACCAACTCAAATGTAAGACTTTTTAAGACCTTTTTAAGACCACTTTGAATAGAATTTAAGACCCATTTCACGGCAAGAAAGTATGAAGGAAAATCGCTATGAAAGAAGAAATACGTCCCATAATTACTTACAAAGTAAATGTATTCATGTTCAACATAAGAACGATGACTGAAAATAACAGCATAACAGTACACAGAACTGTGTTAGCGTGTTAGACAAAAAGTGTGTATGTGTGTGTGTGAGTGACAAGAGCTATATTTAGAGCTCTGCTGCCTTCATGCTGTTGTATTATTGGTGTTTAGCTACGGTATTTAACGTCCACAGCACCTCCGCTTTTAGGGTTGACGTAGACCCAAACATCGCCCGGAGGTCCCCCGATGTTGTTGCGGGAGCTGCTGCACTAGCTAACGCTGCATTAGCAAAACAAACGCTAATTTTGTCCGTGTCTCAATTCAGGGGTTGCATCCTTCGAAGGGTGTATTCGTAGACCGCATACGTGACTTCTGCCGAAAGAAGGCTGTACCAATCTGAAAAAAAGACAAGACTCCTCCGAATGCGGCCCACGAATGCGGCCTTCTTTTCACGGATTTGAAGGATACATCTGATGTATCCTCCGCGGTCTACCATATCCCAGGATGCAATGCGCGGTGGGGACGAGTGAGTTTTGTTCAAATTAAATGGCGGTCCGGTCTCCCCAGCAGAGTGGATTTAAAAGCAGCAGCAAGCGGAGGAATCACTAATAAATGTGAGTATTGGGTTTTAACCAGTGTTGGGCAAGTTACTTTTAAAAAGTAACTAGCAATAGTTATAGTTACTGCTCTCAAAAAAGTAACTAGTTACTTTATTAGTTACTAAATTATAAAAGTAACTAGTAACAAGTTACTTTACTTTACTTTAAAAATAATAACAATAAAAATACAAGTTTTTGTGTTGTTCTGTGGCACAGTAAGAGAAAAGACAACTCCCCATCATTGTAGCAATTATCATTATGAAATGTAGTGGAACAATAAAACACAAAAGATATGTTTAGACATTTTGACAGGCATCTTTATTGTAGCCTCAACAATCAAGTTCTAAGTAGTGCACTTGTAGTGAATCACATTTATTTTTGAGCTCAACTTCCATTTTAGCATATTCAATGTCCAGGTAGTTGGAAAAGGTCTTTCTGCACTCCGCTGACTAGTTCTCTGAAGGCAACAGACTCGACCGTTGCGATGGGCAGCATGTCCTCAACAACATACCTGGCAATCAATCTGTTTAGGTGACTCTGGGTGACATGTGGCGATTTAAAAAAATCATTTTTTGGCTGTTTAGATGGTGTTGCTCCATCTGGGTCACTGCCGGTGGTTGAGACGGTGGGGTCTTTGGCGACTAGTTTTATAGCCCCATGTACATTAGTTAGGTGCTTCAGGAGATTGGCATTGCTGTTATTCGATGTGGACAATGCTTTCTGTCCTGCACACAGTTTACATTTGACCGTAATATGTTTTGCGTCCTTTATCCCCACAAATTGAAAATAGTGGTTATATCTCCAAGTTGTAAATGCGCTGCTGCTCTCGCTGATACTTGCATCTGCCATTGTGTGTGTGTGTGCTGGTGGTGGGCGTTGCCGTGTATGTTTGTGTGTTAGCAAGTGTTTGTGTGTCTGTGTATTTTCCCCATAAGGCAAGACCCGCCCAACTCTGTCTCTGATTGGCTTACCCTGAAATGTTACCCCGCGTTAACCAATCATCACTCCTCTCTGGTCACTTTCACTTTTCCATGGTACTGTGAGAGGACATCACTGTATTCGCCTGTAAATTACATCCGCAGGGAGATTCGGTTCAGTTGGATCACATAATGTAACGCAGTAACGCACCCATTTAAATCACAGTAACTATAACGGCGTTACTGAATGGGAATAGGTAACTAGTAACGTTATTAGTTACCGCAAAAGGTAGTTGCGTTACAGTAACGCGTTAGTTTGTAACGCGTTAGTCCCAACACTGGTTTTAACTTACTTTAAAATAACTAACGTCACACACGTCAAACCCAAGGGGCATTAAAACGTACATTTTCGTTAAATAATACGGATAAATACGTGACGTAGTGACGCTAACTATCTAGCTGGACGTGCTGCACTGTTGGTTTACACTTATTCTTAATTCAATTCAGAAGTTTACTAAAGTCATACAGAGATCTTGGCTCTGTTATAGATAAGTTATACTTTATATTACATAAATAGACCAAAGTGAAAACATTTAGACCTGTATAGCCTACAGTACGGTGGGATTTATAAAATGCTACCCTGACGTAGCTGCTGTTTGCTTTATTTATTTCTCTGACATTTTGCACGTTTATTAAACTTGGGGACAACATTACAACCTTTGTATTCAGCTCATGCTGCTTTGAGGTAGGGCTAAAAAAAAAAAAAAGCCTATTTGAAATATTTCCACCAGATTTGATCATCTTTTATTTAGGTTAAAGTTTATTTAATTTATCCTAATCCCATAATAATAAGACAATAAAAAATGGACAGCAGCCTTTTGCTTGATTTTAGTTTGTGCAGTGCTGTCAAAGGGATGCAAGCTATGACTGTCACTTCTTCTCTTTAGTTTTATAAAAACCAAAACAGTACATCATTTTAATTTAAATAATCCTTTAGGGATTGTTTGTCTGTGTTTAATATGATTAATTCACTTTTTTTCTCTTGTTTTTCTCTGTGATTAGGACAATTCTGGAAAAATGGATCTGCTGGAGAAGGACCCTTAATCTGAAAAGTGCACAGCGGATGATCAGGACAGAGCTGCCATCCACCTGGACCCCCGAGGTGCTGGAGAAAGCAGAACGGCGTTCAGGAACATCCTCCACCCAGACCTCTGCTTACTGCACTCCTACAGACGTATGAGTGCAGAACTGTAGAGATCATCACTGCTGTCACTTTAGCCTTACATACTTTTACTTCAAAATTAACACATTTCATCTGTGTGCTTTATAGTGCTTCTCATTTTGCATACACTGTACTCATTACATTGCTGTTAACAGTTTATTTATTTGCAATACTCTCTAGATTTAATCTACAATTTAGATTATATTACTTAGTCTAAATTGTGTTTGTTTATATGAATCCTAACGTTGCCCGGCCAGCCCTCTCCGGGGCTCAGCTCCAAACACCTTCAAAACTCATATTTGACCTTATGTTGAATAACACACACACACCCATCCACAGATCCTTCGGCCCGTGCACCTATTCTCAAATCAGAATCCAAAACCCCATTCCTACACAAAACCTAACCCTTTATCTTGCACTTTATTTGTGTTTCAGAATCAGATTTTTTCTGTGTCCTTTCTTTTAATATATATTTAATGATTATAGCTTGAGTCTGTCTGATCCCGAAACAGCCGCACATATAATAAAAACAAACAAACTCGATAAACACACGTTTGCTGATATTTGTGTTACTGCTGTTGATGTTAAATGGCATGATTGATTTCCTCTGTCTTAATGATGAAAGTTCTCATAATAGAATACATGAAGCTGCAGAGAGAGGATGGACATATTCCAGTTGCGAACCGTCAGGGCCTTCAAGGTATTCAGAGAATACCCTGGAACACTCAGATAAAACAAACAAAAAATAGATTTAATTATATAAATAAAATGTAATAAAATGTATATAAAATGAATAAATGAGAATCGTATCTGTGTTGTTGATCTGTAATATTACAGTGTTACGTTGATTTGTTTGTCCTTCTCG